TAAGCATGCAACTTACCTACATCTTCAATTAATTGTTAAATGTCTTCTACATACTCTATTCCACCGAATGAACTTCTAAGGCAAGGTTAATTTTTCAAAATGTTGTTTGTTGTTGCTGTTGTTATTGTATGTTGAAATTGGTGGACTGCCGTGGATTCTAAGCAAAACCTGCCGTGGGAGTCAGTTCAAGTGCTACCTGGTGGATTTCATATGCCNAGGTGATTAGAATGTGAAAAGATCCGCGCTGTCGATGTGGCCTTGTAGCTCAGCTAGTAAAGCGTGTGCCGTAGGCGTATGCGTAGGCGGCCTCCATGCGTGGGTTCGGATCCCACCTAGGCTACTGAACTTTTCACAATTCTAACGCAAGAGAGAAACGTCTAAACAGTCCCCTTGAACACGCGATGAGACCCCTACACATAGTTGAAACGGGAAAGTATTGGCACTGATGGATACGCATGCCTAACGATCTGCAAGAAACACGAAACCGAACGTGTGCTCCCAGAGTAATTATTTCCAGTCATCTATATACTACTTATTGTAAAATATTCAACTGGGTTTTTGTGTTCTATCCAGAGCGGAGGCAGTCAGCATCCGTCTTTAAGCAAACCCCCTGTGTCTTCAAAAGCAATTGTGCAAGCACTCCAGCTCCGATGGTCGAACTATCGATGAATGAAGCGTTAGGAAGCACCTGCATAAATGGCAATTGATTTTTAACGAATTCCTCATTCAAAATGGGGAACAATGGCGATTGAAAGTTAGCTATTTCCTTCGCAAAAACCTATCTTTAATTTATCATATACAGTACAGGTCAACTGTGATGCACTAAAATACTTTCTTTATGATCAAATTTAGTTTTATTATATTTATCACCTATATTAATAATTTAGACTTTGACAATAATTTATATCTTATCTACTTCAATCTATGTAGTTTCCAATCTGCATAAGTGTCAATTAAACGTGCCCGACCTTGGTTGCCAAGATTAAATAATATCAACAAGAAAATCTCAAACTTTGTCAAATATCAAAACGCAAAATTTTCTAATAAGAATGACTTAAGCATTATCCCAAAATATTTCTGAATTCGAGAAATACCATTTTAATCAAAGTCAACCTTAAAATCAAGGTCATTTTTGTGCTTTGGATGTTTGGATGTTTGTTGTCACCATAATGAAGCAAGCAGCGCTTGAAACCAAAAGTTCCCATCATCTTGAAGAAGTCGGAACTGGAAAGGAGACACAACATCATCAATAACACATTCAATGGCATCAAGTTCACAATGGAGACGGAGAAGGATAAGCAACTGGCCTTTTTAGACATTTTGATCATCAGAACACCATCAGTAAAACTGGAGACAACGGTCTACAGCAAAGGAACGCGTACGGATCAAATTCTCAACTTCAAAAGTAATCATTCACACAGCCACAAAAGATGCTGTGTTAGAACCTTGTCCGGAAGAATCCAAACACACTACAGCACCGACATACTCAAGAAGAAAGAAGAAAGATATCTCCTCAGAGTATTTGCTCGCAACGGCTACACCCGCAACTTCATTAAAAGAACTCTAACCCAAAGAACGAAAGATAAAACTAACGGAGAATCGGGAACAAGAACTACCCTGCCGTATATCAAGGACGTTTCGGAAATGACGGCAAGACTGCTCAGGTCATATGGACTCCAAGTCGTCCACAGACCTACCACCTGTCTAAGGAGACTTCTGTCAAAACCAAAGGAGAAAACAAAGGATAAAGGACAAGAGCAGTGTTATCTACAAAATAAATTGCAAGAACTGCTCAGAACACTATATCGGACAAACTGGGCGAAAACTNGCGAAAACTGTCCACAGAGATCCGTGAACACCAAGCGGCCATCAGGAGATATGACCCATTATCTTTGATTTCCCTCCACGAAGATCAAGAAGGACATCAGTTTGACTTCGCTTCAGTGAAAATTATCGACCAAACCCGGTCAAAACACGCCGGGGAATTTCTCGAAGCTTGGCACTCCTCAATCGACTCAATCTACAAGCACATTGAACTGGATTACGTGTACACGCCAATGCAACTCAAGGATCAAATGACGCAACAAAAACGGTCACGGCGTGACCTGAGAACGGATCGAAACCGCAATCAGGACGGATGGACAATCACCCCCACCCACCTACCCCCCTACCAACCTCACCCCCAGGCACCAGTTTAACGGCGAACCCAGTCGAACACAATGAGAACAAGGAACAGCAATGGTCGATGGAGAAGAACACATATATGAAAGAACAAACTCAAGCAGAAGACTGCCACTTCACAAGCACTGATGATGTCACCTCGGCTGGT